ATGATTTTTTAAAAGCACAGTTCCCTAACATCCATGGATTATCAAGTCAGTGTTCAAACTTCTCTTAACTTTTTAATTATTTTATTATTTTAATTTTTATTTTATGTGTATGAGTGTAATGCCTGCATGTATTTAAGCGCACTCATGTCATGCAATGGCTACAGAGGTTGGAAGAGGGCTTTGGAGCCCCTGGAACTGGAGTTATGGATAGTTGTTAACAGCCTGCCATGTGGGTGCTGGGAACTGAACCTGGGTCCTCTGCAAGAACAGCCAGTGCTCTTAACCTCTGAGCCATTTCTCCAGCTCCATCTCGCAACATTTTAAAGCTGAAGTGTTGGGATGAAAAGCCCAGTGAGAGGCACGCATTCCATGTTTGCTTTGTTTCTGTCTACTTTTAGTCTGCGTGTTTCTCATCACCAACTCCTTTTTCTTTTAAAATTAAGTTTGGAGAAGAAACGTCTATAGTTTCTCACCTTCTGGGCTTTGTTGATCATAGGCATGCTCCTCCGTAGCATGTTCTCTGACCTCGGTTTAGAAGTAGAGGCTGGATCAGAGGAAACTGGATTGGGGCAGGTGATAAGACCACTATGTGAAAGGCATTGAGTCTCACTGGTGTAAAGTTACCAATTTGATGCCAGTCAGCAATAGGCCTCAAGACCTTCAGTTGACAGGAAAATCATTGAGAATTATCTGTATGCCACAAAGGGGTTCTGAGAAAGTTTGTGGGGTAAAGAAACACCCTTGCAGAAGCACAAGAATGCTGGACTCTGCCACTGCCAGAGAACCCTTTGATTTTCTTTTTTGTTTTTTGATAGACTCTCCCTAGGCCCAGCCTACCTGGAACTCACTTTGTAGACCAGTCTGGCCTCAATCTCATAGAGATCCTCTTGCCTCTGCCTCCTGAGTGCTTGGATTAAATGTGTGCACCACCATGTCGGTTGTTGGAGAACCTTTGAGAAGACTCAGGGGAAGCATATTCTTGGCATAAGCACAGGTTTCATCTGAAACAAGAGATGAGAGTAGTGGAGGAAGCTAGAAAGACGCTGCTTTGTGATGGGGAACAGTCACCGGAGAAGGTCGGCGAAGACACTGAGGGGCTGAGTGGGATGGAGTCGTAAGACAGGAGAGGTGAACTCAAGAATTAGAGCAGCAGCCATGTTGCTGCAATATATGGACTATGATGCACTCACATGCAAAAACAACTTAAGATTGCTAATGTATTATCTCATTTAAACGGAAGCAGGCACTACTTCTAAAATTTGTGTGTGTGTGTGTGTGTGTGTGTGTGTGTGTGTTAGGATAGTTGTGTACATGCCATGATACACATGTGGAAGTCAGAGGACAACTTTGGGAATCAGTTCTCTCTTTTCACCTTATTTCTGAGTCAGAGTTGCTCTTACTATTTCTGTGCCATGTACTCCAGACTATCTGGCCTACAAGTTTCTGGTTGATTTTCCTCTCTCTGTCTCCCATCTCACCATAGGAGTGTTAGAATGACAGGTGTATGCCACCATGGCCAGCCTCTTCATTGGGCTTCTGGGGATCAAATTCAGGTCATCAGGGTGGTGTGACAAGTTTTTGTTTTACCCACTGAACCATCTCTCCAGTCCCAGGTACTGTTTTTTTATTCTTGTGTTTTGGATATAGAAATCAAGACTCTGAGGAACTAAGGAACTCATCCAAGCTTACTTAGTCTTTGGGGATACCTAAGACTAAGGGTCTCTGGGTAATAACAAGGCATCAGACAAGAAAATGTTTCTGTGCCAGTGGTGAAGGAAGGACTTGCGGTGTCTAGCACTTTCCCATGCTGGTTCTCAGCAACCTTCTGGAAACCACTCTGGAGTTTCTAGAAGGCATTAAAGTATATTTTGGACTTTTATTTTCATGCTGCACAGGCTTCCTTCTCAAGCCTGTTTCTTCTAGGAACAAGCTTCAGTTGTGATGAGGACGCCTTCCCTGCCAGAGGCAGAAACCTACCATAACATGTGCTTTTTTGTTAAAGCTCTTCATCATTTATTGCAAAAAGTTGTTTTTCCATTCATTCATTCACTCATTCACTCATTCATTCTATCATTCAAATGAGATCTATTGATTGAGTACCTACTATGTACCAGACACTCCAGTCCCTGGGGACAGTCAGGACAAAGCCTCTGCTTTCACAGAGTGGGTCGTTTGAGGCTGAGGTTGACAGCACATAGTAACCAAGTAAATGTACACTATGAGAGAAAATGAAGTCAGGTTGAGAACAGAGGTGGGAATGAGGTTGGATGGAGAACTTGTTTGAGCCTGTGTTCAGTGTTGTCACAACTTACTCTTTTTAATAATTGAATTTTTTACTTTTTTGAGAATTTCATATATGAGTACCAGTTATATCATCTTCACCCTCCTCTCTCCCTCTTCCAATTTCTCCCATGCCCCCCTCTCCCTCTCAGTTTTATGACTCTTTCATTACTGTTGTTACATATGTGTGTATGTATGTTTGTAGATACGCACAACATACTGAATTCACTTAGTGTTGCTTGTATTTAGGGCTGACCACGTGGGGTTGCATAATCTATAGGGAGCTCATCCCTGGAGAAAACTGATTCTTTCTCTCAGACTCAATGCCCATGTTTCCATTTTGTTCTCAGAAAGACAGGTCTGATCAAACCTTCCCAGAGGTATATTCTTGACTTTCTGAGATAGTAGGGTCTACAGAGAACTGTTCCATGAGGCTTTAATTTTCTCCGGCTAGATAGGTAGATTTTGAATTGGAATCCTTCAAATTATGAAATATTCCTCATAAGATTGTCTTTTTTTTTTTTTTCAGGTGAGGAGAGGGATTTAATTTTATGCTAGAGGACTGACCTACGGATCCTTCCGTAAAGGAGCCAGTAGCCCCCTTCAGTTTTAGGGGTTTTTATATTCATGTGAGGCAGTACAGCTAAAAGACAAAACAGCTCATAGGTGGCGATTAAGAAAAGGTAACTGTGATAATTGAGCAAGGTAACTTATGGCCTCGGGTTACAAAGACTTCTTCCAGGTGGACCATAAGGGGCAGGATGGAGGAAGACTCGGCTTATCTCCCCAGTCTTATCTCTTGTCTAGGACCTCTTCCTGCTCCAAAGTTCTTAATGAACATCACATTGCAAAAGCTTTCCACCTCCACAACAGTTCTGGGAAATTCTGAGCAAGGCATCTTCCCACCAGCCTCACAGGTGATAATAAACTACTGAGCTCTACGTTAGGAACAGAGTGCTGTCTTATGTTAAGTTGTAGCATTACCCTGAAGCCAATCAGTGAGAATGCAAAAAGAAAGGTAACGTGGTGCCCGTAGACAGAAGACCACAGACTTTCAGAAACCCAAGGGCAGGGGAGCTTCCCACAGGCTTTAACTGCTGAAAGTCTAACGTCAATCTCCATAGCCCACCTAGCCAGAAACCCTGAGTCCTCTCTGGTCCTGGGAGTTATGGCCAGTCATGGCTGGTTCCAGTCCTGCTGTGACCTCATAATCAGGGATTCTGAGTGGGTGCGGCCAGCAGTCACAGTGGGGTGGGTGGCCCTGCATTTCTTTGGGTGTACTGAGAGGAGCGGAGGAGTAGCACCCTGTGCGATTTGCTTGTATCTAGCGTGGATCTGTGTGGACTTTGAGTGTGGGTGTTTGGTTTGTGTGTGTGCTTGAGTATTTGTGTTTTTGTGTGAGCGTGTATAGGGAGTGTGTGCTGTGCCATGTGTGTTTGTAGGTGGAAGTTCACTTGTCTGTGAGTACGTGGTTGGGGTTGCTGTGTGTGTGTGTGTGTGTGTGTGTGTGTGTGTGTGTGTGTGTGTGTGTGTGTGTGTGTGTGTGTGTGTGTGTGTGTGTGTGTGTGTGTGTGTGTGTGTGTGTGTGTGTGTGTGTGTGTGTGTGTGTGTGTGTGTGTGTGTGTGTGTGTGTGTGTGTGTGTGTGTGTGTGTGTGTGTGTGTGTGTGTGTGTGTGTGTGTGTGTGTGTGTGTGTGTGTGTGTGTGTGTGTGTGTGTGTGTGTGTGTGTGTGTGTGTGTGTGTGTGTGTGTGTGTGTGTGTGTGTGTGTGTGTGTACATTTCCTTGTGTTTGTGTGGGTACATGTACATGTGGGTGTGAGTGTACCCAAGTGAACAGAAGTCAGAAGTCAGCTTGGCAGTTGCTCCTCAGGTAGGCCATCCTCATTATTTTTTCAGACAAGGTCTCTCATTAACTGGCTGTTGGCCAAGTAGACGAGGCTAGCTGACCAGTGAGTCCCAGGATCTGTCTGTGTCTCTTCCACAATCTAATATTAATAGCAGGTGTGGCTGGCCTGGGGTTTTTTACCTGAGTTCTGGAGATGAACTTAGGTCCTCAAGCCACATGGTCAGCAAGTTACCCGCCAAACTACCTCCCTAGGCCCAGGGTGTTTGGTTTTTGATTTTTGGTGTTTGGTTTTATTTCTGATTTCTTTGATCTACTTTTCAGGATATCTTGGGATTTTTGTTTGGAATTTTGTCTTTGGGTTTTTATTTTTCTTTGATTTATTGAGTCTTGAGGTTTTCTTATTTCTTTTCAGTTTGGCCTCTTTTACTATTTTTGGCTTTTTATTCATTTGCTGTCAGTAGTTATTGAATACAGTTTACACAGATTTGGCTTTTGTGCCACTTTGGGTTGGTTTTTGATTTCGATCTTCTATGGTTTTCCTGGTCGTATTTATTCCTGTTGGAGTTTCTTCCTCCTTTGTGTACGTTGGAATGCTCCGCTCGCTCATTCCTTCTTTCCTTTCTTTGAGTCTTTTTATGTCACTCTTTCTTTGTTTCAGGGAGTGTCAATTCCCAGCGCTGGTGAGCTGTCCCACCTTACAGCCTTGTCCGGGGGATTTGGTTTGACTTTTCTTGGCTTTGTAAGTATGTGCAGTTTGGATTTTTTGCCAGGTCTTGGTTGGGTTTTACTTTTCATTCTTGATTAACCCCCCCATCTGTTTCATTATTTTCATTTTCAATGGTTTTCCTTTTTTTCTTCCTCCTTTTTAGGGAGCATTGTAGTAATCTGGCTGCCATGTCTTTAGTCAGAGAGGAGGAGGAGGAGTCAGAAGGGCCCAGCCCGGGACCCACCTTCTTGGAAGAAGAAGAAAACTTCCATTCTCAATATATCCTGATGAGGACCATTGGCCAAGGGAAGCACGCCAAGGTCCTCCTGGCCCACCACCGCCTGACGGGCCTCCCGGTGGCCGTGAAACTGCTTCTGAAAAGGAAGCAGCGGTGCAGGGTGTCGACCGAGGTGAAAATCATGAAGATGGTCAGACACCCCAACATCATATCACTCATCCAAGTGACTGAATCTGAAAAGCAAGCGTTCCTTGTGATGGAGCTGGCCCGGGGACAGCAGCTGTTTGAATTCGTCCGTCAGGCTGGCTGCCTGCAGGAGGACAAAGCCCGGGCGATATTCCGGCAGATACTTAGCGGTGTGGGGTACTGCCATGACAACGGCATCGTGCACCGGGATCTGAAGCCGGACAACATAATGATAACCGAGGGGGAAAAGGTCAAAATCCTTGACTTCGGGATCAGCACCCTATTCGAGCCAGGGCAAGAACTGACTTCTCACTACGGGACTTACTTATATGCTGCCCCGGAACTTTATCTCGGGGAAAATTACTACGGCCCCAAGGTCGACGTCTGGACCTTAGGGGTGGTGTTGTACTTCATGGTAACAGGCAACACCCCATTTAGAGCAAACTCCCTCAAGGAGCTCCGGGCGCAGATCCTGGTAGCCAAGTATCACGTCCCCAGTTGGATTTCAGAAGAGCTCCGGGACCTCCTCGGGCACCTACTGACCGTTAACCCAACACTGAGACCTACGGTGAACGAAGTGAAATGTCACCCCTGGCTTATGGAAGAGGAGGAAGACTTACTGGATGACTGGGAGGACATGATCCCCAGCCAGGCGGACCCCGCCATAGTGCGAGCCATGGAAGCCCTTGGGTTTAGTGCCCAGGACATCAACAGTTCCTTAGTCCACCGAAAATTCGACCAAACCATGGCGTCCTATTGTCTGCTCCACAGCCAGGCCCGCCAGGAGCAAGGGCTCCCCACCCAGGCTCCCCCGAAGAATCCGGGACTGACACCGTTCCCCACCCCTGAGGACCCCACTCTCCCTCTGGCACCAAGGAGGAGGCGAAGTGAGCCAGCGCTGAGCGAACTGCTGTGTCCACCCTCCGGGGACGAGATGGCCGACTGGGGCCGGAGGGCGGATCGAAGACCAGGCAGAAGTGACAGCAGACCTGCCATTGCTCTCTGCAACATGAGGAGCATAGCCGGCCGACGCACCATGAGTGCTCCATGCATGTGCTCAGTGAGCAGCGATGAGGGAGGCACCGAAGACACCCAGTCCCACAGCCCCTCACCAGATCAGCAACCCCTCCTCCCACTTCTCTCCCAGCAGGGACTCAACACTACTGTCCACTCAATTCCAACGGATTCCTGTGCTGACCCCATCCCCTCACCTGGGCTCCGGCTCCTCCCAAAGCCAGCAGGAACCCTGAGGTGGGGACTGGAGAGCCATATGCTGAAAAACCCTTCCAGGGGCAACAGTCCCCAGCACATGCAGCAGTCAGTCCCCAGAGCCACAGAACAGAGTTTTCGGATTCGCAAATGCAATATAACATTCTTAGGTCTTGAAATCTATAACATGAAATTAGCCAATACTGTCATACACTGACTGACCATCTGTAGAGTCTGCTCGTTACTTGACGTTCTCTGCCCTCCCACAGGTGCACACAGTATTTCAGGAACTCATTAGTCTTTTGTTTTCAAGACTTAGTGATAAGCAGAGTTTTATAGAAATCTTTAAAAATTTATTTCAAAGACTTCAAGTGAGAGAAGAAGAACAGTGACATGTGAAATAGTAAGGCAGGAACACGCGCAGAGGGTTCCCACAAAGTAACTAACCCACTTCGTTATCTGTTTTCCCCAGAACAAAACTAAAATGTCTTCCCCCTTTTACAGTCTCTTCTTTCTGGAAACCTTGTGCTGCATTGGAAGAAGGGATGACATCAGACACATGGTACAGGGGAAGACTCGCAGCAGCAGCCCAGTGACTTCCTGTTCCCGCTCTCCCCAGGGAATCGCTAACTAGCTGGTTCAGCCTCAGCAGACTCGTGGAGTCAGAAACCACATCACCAGAATCAGGGACAGGTTCGGTTTAACTGAGCATCAGTACTAACAGAAGACACAAAATGTTCTCTACAGAACTGAATTCCTCCCTGACAGTGAGCAGGGGGGGCACAGTGAAGCAGCCTGCTGGTTTCTCTGTGGGGAACAAGTCCTCCAAGCTGACTGACTGGAACTCGTCTTGTCTAAGTGCAGACACAGACCATATATGAACATCACCCACCTTAGCAGAGCTGCTGAGACTGAACCCTCCACCCAGCTGTGGGATGCTGGATAGGACTGTCATAAGAAGGGCCATGAGGTGGGGCCACCCCCAGAGGGAGAGCTTCCCTTGGCCAGGTCTTCTCCCAGACCCTCTGCCCAGAGAGCAAGCTGTGCAGTGGACCTGCCCCTCATGGGCGTATTCCTGTTGGACCTGCCACTCAGGTTGGTGAAACCTGAGACTCAAATGCTTCTTTAACAGGCCAGGAATGAACAAGTTCCTCACAGAAGGGCTGTCGGGAGCCACAGGGCATGGCACACAGCACCAACATTGCTGGGCAGCTGCGGGGTTTGCCTGTTGATAAGCAGAGACCATGTTTGCCGGTGCTGCAAGAGTTCTGAGCTTGTCCACGTGAGCCCCACACTGTGCCTGACTGGACTCTCACTCAGCCCTTGCCCACTGGACAGAAACGATGCAACAGCCTTGGCCTCACTTCCGTTGATGGGCTGGATGGGGACCCACAGGCCACCGAGTCCCTAGACATGTTGGAGGTGTAGGCAGCCGAGCATGTAAGATTCCCACAGTGGGAATGGCTGCCCAGCAGGCACTGCAGTCCAAAGGAAATCCACCCAAAGGCGGGGGAGTCGGGCTCCAGTGTCAGTGTCCCCTGCAGTCTGCTTGACTGAACAGCTGTCATTGCACAAATAAAGTTGTATGGTTAATGTTAATGTTAGAAAAGTTAGTATTTACACTTACATGTTTGTGCAGAAGTGTCATATTTACGCCTAAATATAATATCAATAATGGATGCCGAGGAGGTGAGAAAATGCATGTTGCTCCATTGGGGGATTCGTCTAGACATGTGTTAAAGCTCCAAAGGCAAGTCTGACCAGGAATTCCATCTCTGGGAATCAGCCCTAGAAGGTTCAGCACACCACAGAGAGAGGGACATGGAGGGTAGTCAATAGAGTTGGGTGAGAGAAAATACCAGAATGTTCCCTGTAGATAGCTGTTGGCTGGATACAGAGTACACCGGAATGGGACGACGCCTTATCATACCTTAGATGTAAATGTTCTGTACCTGTTATAAAAGATATGTCAATAGAAGGCACATATTACTAAGTGGAAATGCAATTTCTACATGTCTGATCCAATTCTGAGAAGTACGTGTGTGTGTGTGTGTGTTTGTGTGTGTGTGACCTGGGCTCTGGAACACCCCAAAGCTCTGCAATTCTAACTGGAGCTACGGTTGCACAGTGTCCCCAGATACCCGAGGCTGCACTTGGAACACTCTCCTAGGAATAATGTTCTCCCTGGTCATATGTAGACCTCACTGACAGCCTTGCCAGCCCCTGACTTCTGACTGATGCAATCCAAAGTGGGAAGCTTCGGACATGGACTCCAGGCTGTAATGCATGCTGTTTGCCGGGACGTAGGACGGGGCTTTGTCCCTGCCTCTGTTGAGGTCAGGAGGAGGGTTCACCTCCCCTCCATATCTCTCCAGCCTCCTCAAGGCTTCCCGAAGGCTGTGACAGGTGAGTGGAGCCCCCTGGTGGGGATATTGGGGAAAGTATCTGTGAAGCAACTAGGCCACCTCCCTCAGGCCACCTGGGTGCATAGGGCTCCAGAAGGGAACCTTGCCAAGCTGAAAACACCCAAGGCTCTGACACTGACACTCCATCCCAGCCTGAGTCCTGATCAGAAAGTGAGAGCCACGTGTTGACAGGCTGGCATGTGCTTCATCCTCCTTTGTCTGGGGGAGGATTTGCTTCTGTCTCCTGAAGCCTGCCAGGATTTCCCACGGTTCCCTCCCAGACTGGACTCTGCCCATGAGCAGCTGATCAGGAATGCAATGTCAGCCTGGGATTTGGGGTGATGTGATGAGGGCTTGACAAACAAGGCCTGAGACCTGGGGAGGAGGAGGCACCCCAAAGTGCAAGCCCTCTGCTGCCCCATGCCCCCACTGCCCATGATGCTGGGGTGCCTTCAGTTCTGTGGTACAAAGAACACTCAGTCCCCAGCCAGGGCTCCCGAGTTTAGGTGTCAAAGGCCACACATTTAAAAGCAGGAGGGGGTGCTGGAGAGATGGCTTAGCAGTTAAGACCAGCTGCTTTTGCAGAGGACCAGGGTTCAATTTCCAGAACCCACATGGCAGCTGACATAACTCCAGTTCCAGTGGAACCTGATGCTTTCTTCTGACCTTCTCAGGCATTGCATGAAAGGAGAGGGGGGTGCATGAGGCTGCCCCCTTCCATCACAGAGTAAACAGAGGAATGGATGCAGCCCAGGTTGGCACTTATGTCTCACCAGCAGGCTCTTCCATCTCAACTAGGCTCATCTGAGGGGCTGAGCCACTTTCCAATGACCCTAAGCAGCTCCCTGGGACGGAGCTGTCTGCCATCTTCCCCTGAGAGCCTTCGTGGTCTCGGTGACCTGTGGGCAGAGGTCCGCCCAGCACAGGCTGTCAGGCTGCACCATGGCAGTGCTCAAAAGCTACAATAAACCCGCTGCCAGCAGTGTGCCTGTTAACCTGCCATGCAAGGTGTCAGCACGCCCAGGTCTTTGTGTCTGCAGAAGGGAAGAATCTTTTCTGAATCAGATGTGAGGGAGGATCTTGAGAAATTCATGAGGGGGTGATATCTGGAACTGGGTTCTGGAAATTCAGGGTCTCTTAGGGAAAGTCAATGTTTGTTAAGAGTCAATACTTAAGATGCTGGGGGAGGTCAGCAAAGGAGTCTTAAGGGATCCTGCAGGGATCAGTATTTGGAAGACTGTGTCTCGTAAGTGGGAAGAAATTAGCCTGGCAAAACAGGGTTACATCAGTCACTCACACAGGCTTCCTGTTGGACCTTGGCAAGCAGGTGTTTGGCGGGTACGAGGAAGTCCAGCGTGTACCTCAGTGCATCCTCCCGGTAAGTCCTCTCCACCACCTGGAACACTTGGCCCAACAGGGTAGGGGCTGTGGCTTCAAAAGGTGGGTATAAGGCAGCAAGGGTGCTCTGTACACAGTCCTCCACTGGTTCAGGCTCCATGGCTCGGCGCCGGGCGGCGTCCGACACTGGACGGGCGGGGCCGGGCCAGCCGCCGCCTCCCTCCCGGCGCTGGATCTCGCCGGGTCTGGCTGGAGGACAGCTTGGGCCGAGCCGGCGGCTCAGCCCGCTCAGGCTCCCAGGCCGCGGGGCCCGGCCAGGGAGGGCCGAGACCTAAGACTGTCTTTTTAGCTGTATCAAGACTCCACCTTGGGCTAACTCCTACCAGGAAAATGTAAATGTGTGTTCACACTGTGATGGGCGATTTAATCGGCCAATCCAGTATTGATATCCACCCAGGTAGGTGGCTTTGCTAATTTGTTTTTTCCTGTGGTTCTTACTCAATCAAAACAAGTACACAGCATTTGCAAATGACGTGATTATGAACACGTGATTATGGCACAATGACGTGATTATGAACAACGCTTTGCGTAGTCCAAAAGGGACAGCAGTCTCCATTTCTCTAGTGACTAGCACTATTGTTCTAGGGAACTTTTTATATTTCACATTCATGGTTTCTTTTTCTCCAGACTGAATAACACTAGTTTGTTAAAGCAATATACCGAGCTTAACACCACCTAACCTCCAGATGATGGGGGTGGGGTGGATTTAAATCTCTAGACCAGGCCACAACAGCTCAGTGCTTCACAGCCCCTAATCTAGAGAAGACAAAACTCCCTTCTGAGTAGCCAGCATCCAGGCAGGACATGATGGAGATGGACAGGTCAAGGAGAGTGGCTAATCTTTTAGCACTTCTCACACACATTCACAAACTCGTGTCTAACATCCACTAAGACCACGTTTTAATTTTTTATTTTATTTTGTGCATTGGCATTGGAAGGCCTAAGTTCAACCTGGGATGTCTTCCTTAGTAGTTCTCTATTTTATTTTGAGACAGGGTCTCTCATTGGTGGGTATGGAACTCATTGTTTCAGTTAGGCTGTCTGACCAGGCAAGCCCAGGGGATCCTGTTGTCCAAGTCCCCTCCATACAAGTTATAGGTAGATGAGGATCCAGCTTTTATGTGTATGTTGGAGATTTGAACTCAGGTCCTCATGTTTTTCCAGCAACTCCTGAGTCATCTCCACTGTGAACTCTGCAGCCACAGAAACTTTCTTTTGTCTATCTTAGCCCCTGTTTCTTGTGATAGCTACGCACGTTGAGTGGAACAGCACTCATAAAACTTCTTCGTTACTACCCCACACCACCTGAATTATTTGGGAGCAATTCATTCACATCTTAAGGCAAAGACTGGCTGGCACTCATGGTTCTCCCTGAATGTATAAAGGGTATGATAATGCGTGTATATGCATTTGCACTCTCCCCAACTCCAGGGTGGTCAGGGGCTGGAGAGATGATGGCTCAAGGGTTAAGAACACTGGTTGCTCTTGCAGAGGACCCAGGTTCAATTCCCAGCACTTACATGGTGGGTAACAACCATCCATAACTCCAGTTCCAGGGGGTCTGATGCCCTCTTCTGACCGCCATAGGTACTGCAATACACTGGGTGCAACCTCGCTATATTTAGCAATACACTCATACACACAAAATAAAAATAATAAAATAACAGTAATAAAATGAAAACCTCCAGGGTGGTCAATAAGCTCTCCTTTTTTCTGTTTTGACGAGTGAAGACACCTTGGCCTTGGGATTTTGTTGAATGCAAATGAGGTGGAAATTTCACACAGTTCCTGTGACACTTGTCATCTTTAATAAGACAATGAGCAGGGCGACTGTGGCAGCCCTCCCCAGGCTCTTTCATCACCCATTTCCGGTGGCTCTTAGGATTTTGTGGGTTGGGTACAATCTGATCTGGTCGGGATGTTGCATTTCGCTGTTGAAAAGACTCCACTTCCTCAGTTTTAACCCTCGGGGCTCCCGGGCCAGGGTGCCCCGCCCCCCCACTTGTTGGCTGCAGCTTCACCACCCAGCTCAGCTCAGCTCAGCTCTAACCTTGCCTGGGCCTGACCCATCCCGTGCTCCACCCTGCCCTGCTGTGAAAGTCAGCTGTACTTTCTCTGGATGGAAGAGCCAGGCTGCAGGTGAGTCATTGTGGGTGTAGATGCCACTTTGACTAAAGGGATGTTTTCTGTTTTACAACAAAGGGAGTAAAATACTATCTTCCTGAGGCCAACAAAACAAACACAAAAACTCACTAACAAAACCCCCACATTTTAACCTGAAATTATAAAACACAAAATTTGTTCTAAACTCATGTAAGGAATGTCTTTGCTAGAAGTGCTATGGAAGTTAAGGGAAGGGCGGTGAGTTCTACCCAGGCCATGCAAGTTCCTCCTGGACTTTCAAAAATACACATGCTGAGCATGGATACATGTTAAGTTTGCAGGTGGAGAAATCAACATGTGTATACCAAAGCTCATGTGTGTGATATACTGATGTACTAGTAGGTATGTATGGGTGAATGTGCTAGCACGTGTGACACAGGTTAGTGTATGCTGCCCATGTTGCAGAAGTGGCTGGAGATGCAGGTGCAAGAGACAGCAGACATCAATATGTTTGTCAGAGCAAAAACTGCCTTAAAAAAATTAAACAGGCAAAGCTGAAGGAACAGGGAAGGAGGCTTAGGACTAAATCTAGTCTATACAGAGGACAGAAGTGTTAAAAAGCCAGGGTAGGATATCCTAGGCAATCTGTTCGTTCATTGGTTTTGCCAAAGGAAAAGTCATGGAAACTGTTTTACTTCTTGGGACAAGCACTTGTCTGGAAAAGTCAGGTTAGGAAATTAGAGTACCAACTTCCGTGATCACATTTCAAAGCGCTGTTTTTAAAATCTTTGAGAAAGCCATTCCTGGGCTATAAAAATGGCTTTTCAAAAAATTTACATCTCAAAGAGGGCAGAGAAAGAATCCACAGAGAAAGTTTTGTGATGCTAGTACTCTATGGAAAGGGGAAGGTCAGAAGCCGGGAGGCTGGAGGAAGCCTGCTTGAGGTCAGGGCCAGCTGTGGGGCCCTGTGGTGATCTCAGGTGATCTCCTTTGTATGGACTCCAGGCTGAGGCTTGTTTTGGCCTCCTCAGGGGCCCTCATTTCTTCAATGCAGAGGCACACAGAGGTCCTCCAACCTCCAAGCAACAGCCTCCTGCATTCACCCAATTGCTAGACAGTCTTACGGCTTCAGTGAATTCAAACCGTCTTTTATAGACAAACTCCATCTTGCTTTTTAACTCTGCTCACAGTCTTTCTCCTAAAACTACCTTTCTTTGTTCCGACCCTCCAGCAGTTTCCCCTCCCTTGTCTCTCTGTTCTTCCTCCTTCTCCTCCCCTTCCCCCTCCCCCAGTTGTACTGACAAACGTTAAGAAGCTTCTTCCCTGCTGTGGTTTAGATATGGACTGCCTCCAACAGGGTTGTATGGTAGGCTGGGCTCCTAGAGTGGCGGGAACGGGAGGTGTTGGAAACTTTAAGAGGTGGAGACTGTTAAGGAGGTCTTCCAATCACTGAGGGTGACCCCTTGATCAGTACACAGTCCCCTTCCCCCTCTCCTCTCTTCCTGGCCGGGACACTAACAGCTTCAGCCCTGCATGATGTGCCAATCGGAGACTGAAATCCTTGAAACTGAGCCAGAACACGGCTTTTCTCTCCAGGCATTGATTTATCTCTGGTATTGTTTTAACAGAAAGCTAACACATCTCAAACTTCACCTTGAGTCTGAGGCTCCTCTTTGACTGGCAGCCAGGCAGTCATTCTTTATTTGCTAATCACTCTAATCCTCAGAGTGGTCCTTAGCCCCCTATGGACTGCTCACCTGGCACTACCTCCGCCTAGTGTGGTGTGTCACACTGTGAGGTCTGTGTTTTGTCTCCAGCCCATTGCTTTCACTTTCTTTCCGGTGCTCTCACCCCTAAGGGAGTTTATGCCATACACAGCACCGACCATTGTTATGCTCCAGTATTGATCTTGCTACTCTCAGAATATGAATTGCACCAGAGTCTCCGTGACTCAAGTCCTCACCCTGGGTTGCAGTGCCCTTCATGATCAGGGTCCACGTGGTTTTTGGAGTGCTTGCCACATTGCCCACCACTACATACAACAAGACCTGTGGACCATTCCCATACTGGTCCAGCCAAAGCTCCTCTCTCATCTGTCTCCATATTCCCAGTGCCCATGTCTCTCCCGTCAATGGAATATATACTTCATTCTGCATACTTTTATATTTACCATATATGTGTCCTCTCTGCCCTATGCTGTGTTCTCATTCAGGTGAAGAATTTTACATGGTCTCTATTTTGCATTTCTTGTAGTGCCTAGCTGAGGGCCTGAACTTCAAAGGTGATCTTTGGATAAATTTGAATGGCTATAAGAAGGAGTTGATAATTCCCAGAGGACTCAGTACTTACATATGAAAGTGCTGGAAGTGTAACTTAGTAGATATTTTCTAGAGATAAGACTTCTGAGTCCCTGAAAGCATCAGTGATGTTCATGCCTTCCACAGTATTTCTGTGTGCTTCAAATGTATCCTAAAGAATTAATTGCACAGATCAAAAATGAATAGATAAAAATGCTCATGATAGCATTGCCTATTTGTAACAGAGTTTATAGATCTTTTTTAAAAAGGAAAAACAAAAATGTTCGACTAGAAGGCATAATTTTAACAACTTAATGACTCCATGCATGGATTTTTAAGTAGCTGGTCTGCTGTGGTTGGTAAAAAGTTATTAGAATGATTCCCTGCTGTTCTGTAAAGTTATATTTCAGCCAACTTCCAAACTCTCCCCTGGTGCCTTCTCTAGAACACTCAGAGCTCTTCATAGTACAGAAACTAAAGGAACATCATTCTATGTGGGGTGAGAGGAAATACAGCCTTTACCCAATGGCTTCTGGCATTCAGATTCCGCATCACTGCCCTTTTCTTATCCTTGCATTCACAGCTCTT